CGGATCTCTGTGAGTTCGAGGCCAGCCTGGTCTCCAAAGCGAGTTCCAGGAAAGGCGCAAAGCTACACAGAGAAACCTTGTCTCGAAAAACAAAAACAAAAAAAAAAATAGATATCCACCATAAATGTTGAACATATTCATGGATAATGTTGAACACATTTGGTTACTGTTTGATTACACACAATGACATTTGTAATACTGTCTGTCATCTGGGTGAGCTGGTGTCAATGACTCAATCCCTTGTAAAACTCTTTTAAAAAAAAAAGATTTCTGTAAAGTATCCTTTATTTCTTCTGCATGTGATGCTTTCTGTACTGTTCAACAGAAGAGAGCAAAGCGCTCTTAGGGACAGACACACATACACACACCTCTTTTTATATATATACTTTTATTATATGAATGTTTTGCCTTGTATGTATGTCTGTTTGTCACATGTGTGCCTGATGACTGTGGAGGTCAGAAGATGACATCAGATCCTGGAACAGGAGTTACAGGCAGAAGTGAGCCACTATGAGGGGGCTGGAAATCAAACCTGGGTCCCCTGAAGGAACCCTGGATTCATCTCTCCAGCTCCCTTGGGCTCACTCTTGATTAAGTGACACCAAGGGCAAGTGCTTTGGTTTCTTTCCTTAATGAGACACCAATCCATTATTAATCACGAATGTGTTTAATCCATGCAACTGACAACATTAAAAAGTTCTTTTACAGCCAGGCGGCGGTGGTGCATGCCTTTAAATCCCAGCACTTGGGAGGCAGCGCCAGGTGGATCTCTGTGAGTTCGAGGTCAGCCTGGTCTACAGAGCAAGATCCAGGACAGGCTCCAAAACTACACAGAGAAACCCTGTCTCGAAAAGAAAACAAAAACAAAAACAAAAAACTTTTACATTTTCTATCAAAGACCAATAAAAATTTAGTAAAGGCTTGTCATCCAAGTCTGAGGACCTGTATTCACCCCACAGAATCCAGGTCCAAGTGCTGGTAACACACACTTCTAACTCCAGGCTGGGGAGACAAGCATTAGTAGATGCCTGGGGCTTGTTGGTCAGTCAATCTAGCTTAATTAGTGAGCTCTATGAGAGCCAGTGAGAGACCCTCCTCAAAAAGAGGTGGATAAAGCTGAGTGTGGCGGTACACACCTTTAGTTCTAGTGCTCTGGAGGCAGAGGCAAGCGGACTTCTATGAGCTCAAGGCCAGCATGGTCTACACAGCAAGTACCAGGCTAGCAAAGGCTACATATTGAGACCATGTCTCAAAAACAAAACAACCCTCCCCCAATCAAAAACATACATACATACATACATACATACATACATACATACATACAAAAGAAGGTGGATGGGGGCTGGAGAGACGACTCGGAGAATAAGAGCACTGGCTGCTTTTGCAGAGGACCCAGGTTCAATTCCCCGAACCCACATGATGGTTCATAACTATGCCAGGAGATCCAATGCCCTCTTCTGATCTCCACAGGCACCAGACGTACATGCAGGCAAAATATTCATACACATAAAATAAATCTAAAACATTTTTTAAAAAGATGGATGGGATTCCTGAGGATGAATCTTGAGGTTGCTTCCTGGCTTCCACATGTATGTGCAC